ATAAGACTTAAACCAAGCAAGAACCTTGCCTTTGATACCAAACCGAGTATTAAGTCTGTGAAGTAATATACCATGGTCGACCGTGTCAAATGCCGCAGATAGATCGAGCAGTAATAAAACAACAGTACAACCACGATCCACAGTACGTAAGATGTCGTCATGAACTCTCAGAAGGGCAGTCTCAGTGCTATGCAATTTCTTGTAAGTAGATTGTAATTTCTCATCAAGGTTGTTGTCATCAATATACTACACAAGTTGTACCGCAACCGATTTCTCCATCAATTTATAGACGAACGGAAGGTTAGAAACAGGACGAAAATTCTTAAAATCTTCAGTATCTAAATTAGTCTTCTTCAACAATGGAATAATCAAGGCAGTTTTGAGTGAGTTTGGTATAAGAGCCTCGTCTAAGGAACGATTTACAATATCAGTTATCACTGGCAGCAACCTTGGTAAACATCTAGTTAGCACAGAAGCTTGTAGCGGATCGAGAGCACAAGTTTTCACTCTGGAGGATTTAATAAAATTAGCTATAAAGTAGGTAGAAACACGTTGAAAAGTTGCAAATTCACAGGGCCGGGATTGAGTCGCAGAGTTATCCAATTAAGTAAGGGAAATTCGGAAATCCAGAACCATGAACAGATAAACTATCGCTTATACGTCGTATCTTGTTACTAAAGAATGATTTGAACTTTTCAGCTATAGCTGATGTCGATTATAGATTGAAGAGTGGAGTTGAATTGATAAATAGCTGATGAAAGGTCATCGTTTAGAGGTGATCTAATTAGCGCGGAGTCTTCAGAATTATTCATTCATTTGGCTCGTCTTGGTGGGTTTTTACAACATTATTTCCCGGCGATTGTTCATCTAAGATGAGCGAACTTGGTCTTCATTGGCTTCTTTCGTTGTTGCCCCGCGGGTTTTTATTTCCTCTTCGCAAATTATTACATAGTCTCTCGCTCTTTGCTAATGGAAGCGCAAAACTAGTTTTCAATGCCTTGAATTATACGGTTTAGGGGTTTAATTGAGCCCCTAATATAAAGCCCCTAACCCTACCATCGCCAAAGCTAACGAAACACCTCCATACTTTTTTCTTTGCTGATAAAATTGGACTTTAACGTTATTCGATGGCAGCCCCGGGAGAAAGGAAGCTAAAGGGGGAGGGAGGTACCCCTCGGAATCTTGGTTGGGGATTTCAACCCAATTCTCCGAGTCCTTACCATACTTTAGAAGAGAACATGGTATATTTTCCACAACCGTTTTCAAACCTGGCTTCTGGAAGTTCAGTGTATTTGGTTTTATTTTGTGGTGCTCAAGAAAAAGAAAGAGATAAACTGAACCAGACCAGCTCCAATGGTATGTTATGGTTACTCAATTCTTTCCTCAATTACTCAAATAGAGTTGAAGGGACAGACACATTTATACTATCTCCTGGTTCCTTTAAAACTCTGTACTCAATTCAAGACCATTAGGTCCCAAAATCGAGACCCATTTTCAGACCAAAACAGCGTGTAATACCTGGCTCATACAGGGCAACTCCTTCCTAGATTAGACTTTATGAAAGCCTTCTTTTCTATAAATAGAAGCCACTAAGAAATCCTGTGCATTAAAACGGTCATTCAGAAAATTGGAATCAGTCGAAATACCTCGTTTTGATTCGAGATGACCTGTAGTATCCTTATGCTCTCCGTGATATGTGAGACATGACAGCCAAGAGGGCCTCAATGAGGTGATGTCTTGCACTGCTAACGGTTAAAATTTTTGCCAATTTACGGCTAACGATTAATATTTGTCATTGTTGTCACCAGATTTTTCTTATAGTTAATTTGTATTGCGACTAACGGTTAAATTCTGTCAATTTGTATGTCCAACTGCTAAACGTTAACCGAGATTGAGACCCTCAGTCAAGAACGCCCCTAAAAAAATCTTTTCAGGCTATAAAAAATTTAATTCAACAAAGTTTCTTTTTCACATGTATCGTTTAGACGAAATATATGAAAAGGAAACACAATTTTACAGTCTTTAGACTTGACTTGGTTTTTCCTCCAGCTAACTAGTAGCTGCTTGTTTTCGTCTTTATCTAAACCTGTCATGTGGAAATTCAATCCACTCGTCGCAAAAATATATTCTTCACGTGCGTAGGATCTCAAAATTAAATAGTGACTGCGATATTTCACACGTCAAATGGAAAAATGGCACAGCTGCTGGTGTATTAGTTTTTGTGGCATAACACACTACTTAAACATTGACTATTTGTCGAACGTGAAGTAGATATTGACCAAGAAGGAGAAGAGCATTGCTAATATTGCGATCTTGAGACAAACACTGTTCAGTAAATTCATTAGAACTCTGTTGGCTGTCAGTAAAGCCTCCTCTTATCCATTTTAACAACCCAAAGCGAGAATATTTGAGGTAGGACGTGGAAATATTAATGTGTGCAGCTGCACTACTTGAATCCCAAGAGAGGTAATTTAAAGCAGAGAATGGGGTTCCCACGTCTGTGGGTGTTCCATTTAAGTCAAGTCATAGATGCAGTTGGACTTAAGTACGACTGCGCCCACGTTGCCACATCGGTCAAATTTGAAATAAATTAGTAAAGCTGGCCTAAAAACGAGTCGCTGTCGTAAACAAAGATAGCATTGCCTTTTTAAAGAAATGCGTTTGGACAATAGCTGCCAAAAGAAGCACATAGCACTTTATCTCAGGGTAGATTTGTCGTGGAAAGGGGGTACATCTCTTAAGTATAGAGGATGAGAAATTACGTGTTTTACTTACGAAACTCGTTTTAAGTATCTTAACACTTCTTGCAAATTATGCCATTTAGTCCTTGTTGGATATTTTCTTGGGAGCTTAAGTTTGATTGCGCGGAACCCTTAACGACTCCCTCGCATAAATAAATTTCATCGCAGGTGCAAGACACGATAAAAGACAAATATAAATACAAAACTCCTTTTAAGTATCTCCTCACGTCGTGCAATAGATGTCTTTAATTGATCCTCATAGGATATTTACTTGAGAGCTTAACGGTTTGATTTTGAAGATGTGATTGAGAGGAAACCTTAACGGCTCCCCCGTATTGATAAATTTTACAGCAGGTGCAAGACATGATGAAAGAAAAATAGAAATACGAAACTTATTTTAAGTATCTCATCACTTCGTGCAAATGATGTCTTTTGTCCTTGTTGGACACATACTCGGAGCTTAAGTTTGATTTTAAATATGTGATTGCCAGGAACCCTAAACGACTCCCCCGTAAAAATAAATCTCATCGCAGGTGCAAGACATGATAAAAGAAAAATATAAATACGAAACGCATTTTAAGTCTCTCCCCACTTCGTGCAAATGACGTCTTTAATCTTCTTTGGATATTTACTTGGAGCTTAGGTTTGATTTTGAAGATATGATTGCGAGGAAACCTCATCGGCTTCCCCGTATTAATAAATTTTATCGCAGGTGCGTGACATGAAAAAAGGAAAAATGTAAATACTTCGCCAATGATATTTACCCTGATAAGTAATTCACTTCTTTATTGCTGTTTTTGTGGTTATATAAGTAAAATGTATTGCTGTAACCAACCATTCTGTCTTGCTTTGTCAGTGGTAACACAGCAAACATGGTTTTCAAGGAGATTTTCGTCATTGTCGCTTTGGTTCATGTAGTTGGTGCAGTTTAAGTGAAAACCTGTGGTAAGTATCTGCAGCCTACATTTGATTAATTTTAAATTAACAAAACCTAATCAAAGTTGAAATTTCTTCGTCATTTACTCTCTTGCCGATCGGAAAAGAATTGTTTCCCATATACTGGAAAGACAATGTTGTTCATTGTGGTTTTGTAGGTAAAACAGAATTTTGGGAGAAGGACCTTTCTTTTTACTGGCGCAGAAATTTTTAATAAACTTCCTTTAAACATTGTGAAGAGTGAAAACATTCAAACGTTCTGTCGCCGAGCAAAACATTTCCTTTTACCGTAATTTTGATATTTTATTTACTATGTTATGTTTTAATTGTGTTTTAGCTTTGTAGTTTTAGGCTGTTGATGTAGTTGTGAAATCTTAGTCATTGTATATATATATATATCTATTCTAGAAATTTGATGTAAATTATTTTCAATACAGGGCCCCAATGGATACCAGCCTTAGAGCTGAATGGGCTACCCTGTGTAAATAAAGTTTGTCTTTGTCTTTGTCTTTGTAAATGCAAGTTTAATCGTTTGTCTTTCGATGTAAATAATGAGTCAGGCTAGTGAACCTTGTATTAGTAATATAGTAATATAGTTATATAGTAACATAGTTTATATCTGACTACTTGCAGCCCAGAGGCTGAGTTACGAGTGCAGTGTAAGGTTGAGAACAGACGTCAGCATATCATATTGCTCGCAACGTTTCGATTACGATATACTGCTCGCCTTCGTCGACGACGAGGTCCAAAGTACACGTGTCGCTATTAATAACACCCTAGAAAATGGTTGGCAAAATTTGTGATTTTTCTACTGAGTAGAATCCGATAGCAATTTTCATTTCCAAATTTAAAACCGAACACCGATAGCCACAGAAAGATGATTTCATAAAAACATTGCGCCGTTTCACCTGCACCATACAGCCCGATTGGATATTCCACCCGCCTTCGAACCTGTCCCACGTTCTTTAAGGTTCAAAGTATTTTTTAATAAATATCCCTGTTGTATTAATCCACATCATTTGACATTTAAGGACTAGACACAATGCTATGGTGATAGCGCTCGTCCCCCACCACTGTAACGTGGGTTCGAGATGTGGGTTAAGTTTGTGTTTGGCTCCCGTCCTTGCTCCGAAGGTCTTTTTCTGGTTCCTCTGCTTTTCCTCCCTCCACGAAAAACAACATCTCGAATTCCATTTCGACCTGGAAACGGTAAACAAGAAGAGCCTTCTAGGGGAATGTCCATTGCTAAATTCTCATTCACATATTTAGTTCCAATTCCCATTCCCGTTACCTCAAAAAATTTGCTTCTACTGTACCACTCAGGAGGTCCGGTGCGGATTCTGAAAGGGGATGTTAAGTTGATCAACAACCAACAGAAGGTTATGGTCCGTGGAAGGGTAAAAATTGACAGGAAATTAGGGAATTTACCATTCAGATACGAAGTAACAATAAAGAAGAACGGCAAGAACCTTGGTTGCTCCATTAGTGCTTGGTAGGTAGAATAAAGAAAGCTCCTGATTCCATTCATTTTCTCTGACTGAAGATTCCACCAGCTTTGACGCTAATGGCTCCATAACAAGATTTCACCTTTAACGTGGTTCTCAGAGGGTTAACCGTTAGTAGTAAATAAAGTTATGTGTTGTCCTTCTACAACAGGTCGTTTTGTGTCATTTTTGGTTAACCGTTAGTCGTAACCGTAGCCATAACCCTATTGAGACCCACATTTAACTACTTTGCAATTCTTTTACAAGTACTGTACATTTCTACAACCTTGTCGACTCACCATCGATTGTAGTAATCATTGATACTTATCGATGAAAGTGTGGGACGTGAAATGCGCGACGAGCAGTATCTATAAAGAGCATATGCAGTTATTCTCCCTTGGAACAAAGTCAAAGTGCTCTCTGAGTTCTATCCGGGAATTCATTGACTTGATTCTTAATCAAATGATATAATACAACTGTTAACTGATGAGGGAGACGCAGAGACCTAATGGGCAACCTTGCGATGGATTAGCTTCCCATCCAAGGGATGGAGAACTAATTGTAATCACTTCTCGTTTCTTGCAACATGGAAACCGAATAAGGTTTCAGACTTTACTTTTATTACCTCAACTAATGACTGACTTTGACTTTGCACTAATTTTCTTTGTATTGTTTTTGTCTGAAGTAATGGAAGGTTGACATGCTCCGTCATTAAGAAGAACTTGAACAAGAATGGAATAATATGCACATCCAAAAGTTTGAACCGAGGATCAGCAACGATTAAAAGCAGCCCGAACCGTAGTGTGCCTGGGTTGCAAACTATGCTGGGCAGATTAGGAAAGGTTCGGAAGTTAACCTCTTACTCTTTTTTCCTCGATTTAGGCAATGCTGCAATGACTTTTTGCGTTTTTGCGCAATTGCAGACTGGGAGAACTCGAGACTGTTAAGCAACTCCCAATTCTCGAGTGTTAAGACGAGGCTTGGTAAACACGGAAAAATCTTCTGCAGCTGTTATAAAATACTATGTTATTTGATTGGTTTTGTTTTAAGTGATTGTTCAAAACAGGCAGAGGTCACTGATTACAAAATAGCCGTTGGGACTCAGTAAAGAGTGACCATGACCGTTTAATAAAAGTGAAAATTGTGGTCAACTAAGGGGGAAAACTCGGCAATTCGACAACTGACCACTTATGCAGGATGACTGCAAAATACGGGACCGCTTGATACGGGTTCTGCTCCAAATGTACAAAGATTATTTTTTAAATGCTGCTATTTCTTTTTGATTTTCCAGGGAAAGTACACGATTACAGCAAAACTGCGTGCGCTTAAAGGAAATAAAGTGTATGGATGCGTCCAATTGACAACGAATAAAAGGGGCTAGAAGTAAAAATGCTTCTTGGGATGAAAGAAGTGACTGAAATAAAGTTAATGTTAAGGGGATTTTGTATCCTATTACTTGATTTACTAAAATGAAAAAAACCCGGAACCTCGAACCTCGAACCTAATATCTCCATGATTACCCCCCACCCCCTCCTCCCTCTCATAGGAAGTTAACTGACAGTCAGTTTTCTAGAATCTTCCCCTGATAATCTGTTTATGACGACTGGCTGATTTATAACCTTTTATCAGTCCTTAAAACAGTTTTAAACTGGTAACATCGCTCTTGAATTTAATGCCGAAAGCAACAGAAACAACAACAAAAGAATCAGTCTCCAAAGAATTATCCCCTCCAGGCGGTAAGTCGTAATTGGAAGAACATCGTCTTTCAGCAGTGTCCCATCACTCTGATTATGTAATGAAAGGCATCACCAATAGCAAGGTCGTCTAGCGAAAGGGGCGTTGCGGGTATTTCGGAGAAAAATGCAAAAGGTTATTCAACGAGAAAAGACCATACGCAACGAATGCAGTTAACTCGCCGCGCGATCGACCTCCTTGGTGCAGTAAGAAGTGTTCGTGAAGTTTCGCTTATTTCTTTTTGTTTTTTTACGACGCATGATAGCACAGGCATGATATCACACGCTCTAATTATTTTCCATCTATTTTGCTCTTCAGAAAAAATCTCTGGGATCTTGGTAATGCAAGGATTTGATAAACTTCTTTGCATGATCGCTTCTCGTAAACAGAAAGCGAAGCAATCTGACCTCGAAAATATCTGTGCTCGCTTAAATAAGTCGAGCAACAGTAGCTTTACCATAGAGTTTTGGAAACTAGACTTGAATGAGAAAATAAAACGGTTATTAATAGAGTGATCGCAGTAAGGAAATGGTCGCTCAAGGTAAAAGGAAAAACATCATGCAATCACCTTTTAATTTTCGATTGTGTACAAGTGAGATAAATCTTGAAGAGAATATTTGGACATTCGAGAACCTCCACTCCTAATAAAGTCTCCGTGAACCATTTCATCAAATATTTTTGTCCGCTATTTTTATCTGAAATTCCTGTTGAAAAATTAGACAAATTCTAATCGATGAATGTAAGATTTGGTATCTTCTTCTCGAAAAGAAAACAGAGGAAAAAAGATAAAAAAAAAAAACCCAAAAGGATGGTAGACTCATAGGATCTGCTATTACGGTACTCACATTATAATGTACCGCCAACAGCCGACAGGTTGCGTATGCCTTGCGTCAATTCATCGACCACGTCGTTTTCCGGTGCTTCTGTTTTAGGAGGCTTAATTGTTCCATGTTTGCTTTCAATCTCGTCAATTGCTTTTTGTCTTTGGTCAGTAAACTGAGCCAGAAAAGCAACGAAACTTTCTTTTCAAATTATGTCTTTGAAATCACATTTACTTGCTTTCATCAGGTCTATGAGATTTGTAATTATTTCATCGATTTGGATTGCTTCCCACTCTTCTTTCTAGGAGTTGAGTTCTTCGTATTTTTACTCGTCGTCTCGCTATTTCAAATAGCAAAAGAAATAAACTTCTGAACTTACGAATGGGTGATCAGGTATCTTTGAATTATCCTTGAACAGTATCTCGAGGTCTTTAGCAAAAGAAGAGGTATCGGTTTTATTCAAAGCAGCAGCAGAGAAATATGAGACCATTGCCGAGTTGATCTTCCGTACTTCGTGGATCTAGTTTGAATAAATTGCGAAATTGTAATGCTTGGCCGACCCTAGAAATTCCCAAATAATACAGATATTTTCCTTTTTTATAACGAACTTTGTTGACAATATCTGTGAGTAACTAGACAACCTGATCTCGATTGAAGCCCGAACTATCATAAACAATTTCAGGTTTAGGATAAGTATTCGCCATTTCGAAATAACTTCTGTTCTGTATTTATACACCTACACGTCTTCGATCACCTTTCATGGCATCAGATTGAAGAAAATAAGATAAGGTATGACAAGGAAGAACCCATCACTGCATCAGGTACGAAAACAAAACACCGCAGCTTTTCCTAGCCTTACCTTCTTGCCTGAAATCATCGAAGACAAACGCTTCATGTTTTCTGGAAAAGATCAAGATTATGCCTGTTTAGACATAGCAAAATTTCATTGCTCTTATATTCAAAAAGGTCACGTTGAGTAACTTCAAAGAGGTTGTTTTTTTTCCCCTTCCCGCAAGGCATCGCTGATTCTGAGGACGCTTTCCTCCGAAAGAGATTGTCACACCATCTCCCGGAATGTAACCCAAAAAGGCTACTCAACTCTAAACAAATTAAAATATAATTATACGTCGTCTCTAGTCTATCGATACGTCTTAAAGTATTTTCCGATATATCAGGTATTTGTTTTGGCGCGTTCAGGGTGGCCTGTGATGTGTTTCGGCGATTACACACAAGCATCCGTACCTATCTGAATAAGGAAGACATATTTAAAATTATTTCCAGCAAGCATGCACGCTCTTTATTTCGTAATACGCAAGTAAAAAAAAATGTTCGCTTTTAAAACAAACCCGTCATTAAATGTGAATTATTTGAAACATCTTACGAGGTCAAGCGGCATTGGATCATTCCACGTAAAACACGCTGATAAAGATACTTAACAGTTTTGTAATTTGTGAACTACCTTTCAAATACCAGAGTAAACCAGAATCGAAACTGATTAAAAGATGATTCAGAAAACTTTGGCTCTATGTGTTACCCAAAATTTTCTATCAATAAGAATCATTGCCGTGTATGAAAGAATATACGCGGCATATTCCCTCGCACAGTATTATTTTTTTAAATTCTTTACTTCGGTAGTGTCTAAAAGTATACACTAGTGACCACGAAAACCCACGGGTAACCATGAGTGACCACGATTGATCACGGGTGACAACGAGTGACAACGAATTCGCACGAATGAGTGACTATGCGTGATTAAAAGTAAGAAATATCACTATATTTGGCTAACATAATCACATCGACATAACGTCACTTTATACAATTATGATAACGAATTAACCGAGTAAAAGAAAGAGGCAATTCCATAGGCTGAAATAAATATCAGATGCGTAATTTCCTTCTTTTCCAAAAAGGCAGGCTCCGACTAGACCCTTAGAGAATGCGCTGGCTAAAAGTTTTTAAATTCTTTACTTCGGTAGTGTCTAAAAGTACACAATAGTGACCACGAAAACCCACGGGTAACCATGAGTGACCACGATTGATCACGGGTGACAATGCTACAAGCATTGCTCGATTTTTTCTAAGTTATGCTCAAGAGTTTGCTTTTTTAATTATGCTACTTTTTCTCACAGTATGCTTTTTGAAAAAAGCACAAAAACAAGTCCAAATGGCATAGTCATTGTTAATAAAGCACAATTTCTTCTTTATTTTCAGTTTCATACTCTGACAAAAGAAGATTACTGACTGTACCCATGGTCACTAGAGTATATATAGGGAAGATTCAAAAAGGACACTGGAAGATCTGTGAAATTGCTTCAAAATTTACAATACCCATAGTTCTTAGATGGATCTTTCGTCACTATTACACTGTGACTTGTGAATCAGGGTTTTTCTCCCTAACGGTCCGATTTGCAGACCTTTCGTGACCATTATACTCTAACTTGTGAATCAGGGCTTTTCTCCCTAACGGTCTGATTTGTAGGCTGGAAATAATCTGGAATCAATATTTTTTTTATAACAGCGAGAGATTCTTAATACCCCAGAATGATCGAGGATCGTGAAGTTTGAGGTGTAAATCGAAGAGAAAAAAAACAAAAAATAGAAACAAACACAAACTGTAGAGACCTACCGTAAAGTTTCCATTTAAAAGGCATCAACTGCAAAAGCCAATGTCATAAAAATGAAGACTTTTTTTGATAGTCATTTTGGTTGTGTTTTCACTCGGAAAGCAATACGTAATGATTTACCAAAACCTAACTACGTCTTACTTATAGCAATGATCAGCGGCATAAAATATAAGAATGACAAAGAAGTATCCATCCCTCAGAGCAAATATTGCTGCCAGCTTTCTGTTACGTATCCCACCTGAGAAAACTTGCTCTTATAATTCAATACCGCGGGCGAACCATTTTAATTGCTGTGTAATCACACCAGTCCTTTAAAACACATTTTGATGCAAATCAAATACTTAAAGACGAACAAAGAAATCTCCTACGTCAAGGAATAAGGTCCCCTCACCATACTAAACTAAAATAAAACAGTTTTGCTAGTAAATAACACAAAGTCTTCTTTATAGGGTTGAGACTCTGAAAAATGCTTAACTGATCTCTTTCTAGAACAAATCTACCCATAACTTTCGAGTTATTTCGCTTTGAATTAGTCCGTTAAACAACCATTTTGATTTTTCGTTATTTTTCGTATTTTTTCAGCTTCAACCATTTCTTCTAAACGTGGGCCATTGTTTTACACATGCAAGTGTGGCAAATATATGCCATTTCTGGTCTGAAATTAACCAGAAGGCTCTCTGCTTGTCGCGAGTTATTATGTGAAGATTTCCCGTAAGAACAGATCCTATGTCTATCATCCTTTTTTTTTTTTATCTTTTCTTTTCTGTTTTCTTTTCTATTTTCTTTTCCAAAAGAAGATATCAAATCTTACGTTTGTCGATTAGAATTTGTCTCATTTTTGAACAGAAATTTCAGATAAAAATAGAGGACAAAAAGATTTAATGAAATGGGTCACGGAGACGTTATTAGGAGTGGAGATTCTCGAATGTCCATGAATTGGTCAAATATTCTATGCAAGATATATCTTACTTGGACATAATAAAAAATTAAAGGGTGATTGCATGATTTTTTTCCTTTTTCCTTGAACAACCATTTCTTTAAAGCGACTACTCTATTAATAACTGTTTAATTTCCTCATTCAAGTCTAGTTTCCAAAACTCTCTGGCAAGCTACCGTTGCTCGACATATTAAGCGCGTACAATATTTTCGAAGTCAGATTCCTTCGCTTTCTGTTTACGATAAGTGATCATGCAAAGAAGCCTACGAAATCCTCGCATTACTCAGGTCCCAGAGATCTTTCCTAAAGAGAAAAAT